GGAGAGCATGGTGCTGCTGCCAGAGAGCAGCAGGTGTTAGCACGGCCCCTCCCGAGAACCCTCAATGTCATTTCTAACCTCAATCAATCTTGTTTGCACGTCACCATTCTTCCGGTCAAAGTATGACTGGAAATATTTTCCCTGTTCCATGGTTACTTGAGTCTGAGAAATGCTTTTATTGTTATTATTATTATCATTATATTTATTTTTAGCAACACACTAGTGTAATCCATGGATCTGTAGCTATTGTGATGCTTCATAGTATGAAACATCAGTGCACCTTCTGCTGCAGAACAACAGCATCCTCGTTTTCCCAGGTGTAACAAAGAACTCAGTCAACTTACTAGATAAATTTTGCACAACATTTTTATGTTTTTCTGTGTCCATGTAAGCAGCAAGATCTCCGGCACCTTTGTTAGACACAAACGTTATGTGCCAGCTGTGCACACAGTGCACTACACCTCCCATTTATTCCGACCGGGATGGTACGAGGAAAATTTCTTTTGCAGTTTGTCTGAAAAGATGCACTTGCGCTTTGGCATCTTTTCAGTGTGCCGCTGCGCGCTCTGTCCTGTCTGTGAGCGCGGAACAACCAATTACAACACAGCAGTTTGGGGATGACGTTGCACATATGGGTCCTCTGTAGGCTTGTAGGAAAACCCGGACATTTTCATCCATCTCGAAAATCCCCCTGGACACAACGTGAAAAGTGGACATGTCCAGGGAAAAGAGAACGGTTGGTCACCCTAGACTAGGAGTTTATTTCAGTACCCAAGATGACTACTTCAGTGTACTAAAATGTAACACGAGGAAATGGCAGAAAATCCTCTTGAGGTCAAGTTTTCTTTTAGAGAAGTGCACTGGTATATTGTGTGGATCTCTGTAATGGTTTATATTGACATCAGCAAATAAGACATTTTAGGCGCTCTTAACCTGTTATCACATTAATGTTGCTCTGACGGAATATTTATGGGGCATAGATATGCCCCCTCCTATGCAAACTTATACATGAGTCAGTGGGAACGTGAGGCCCTTGCAAAATGCCCTCAGAAACTAACATTCCACTTTAGATTTTTGGATGACATCATAGTGGCTTGGTCTCACGGTGAGGAAAAGTTTTCTGAATTTATTGACATCCTAAATAACCATCACTCCTCTATCAAGGTCAAATATGAGTTGCATTCTGGACACAGTGTTTTTGGAACAACTGGATCCAAATTTGAAAAAGGTTTCTACTAAGGTTTATTTTAAACCCACAGATTCTCATAACCTTTTACATAGGAGTAGTTATCATCCAAAACACACTTTTAAAGGTATCATAAAATCGCAAATTATTAGATTCTACAGAATCTCCTCAAAGGATTCAGACCTTCAGGAATCAATCAGTACATTATTTCGGAGTCTGGGAAACAGGGGTTATTCCAGAAGGTTTCTTAGAGCAATTAAAAGCAGTACTCTTGCAGGGCTTAACTCTAACACGACGAATGCAGGTGGAGCCTTAGATGATTCAGGGGAAAACTTGACTCATAATCAGGCCCAATTGGGGGAACCGAGCAGATTCATGCCATTGGTAACTACTTATTCACGACCCTATTTACCGTTACACCGTCAATTTAAAAGAAACTTTAAAGAGTACACCTCCGGTTTGATACAATTTCAAAATTACAGGGTAAATTCAGCTCATAGGAGAATCAAGAACCTAAGGGACATGCTTGTTAGAGCTAAATTACCGGAACAGATAGGGAGAATAGGATCAGTGAAATCTGACCATTGGGCCTTCAAACCAAGACAGTTTATGTACAATCCTCATGGACAGGAAGGGCCACCCATTCTGCAGAGAATGACCTT